TGATTGGTTCAGTAAAAAAAAGTCTCCCTATATCTCCAAACCTTTAGTCTCTATGGAAAAGCATGGGGAACACAGGGCTATCCATGCCTTGCCTCGTGAAAGATCTCTCATAGAACTCGCAACTGACGTCTCCCTAAAAGAAAACTCTCGCGGCGATCGTTTTCCCGGATTTTCCCTCGCCTCGTTGCACTCGTTCGTTTGCCAGTTCACTTTTTCGCGTAGGAATGGATAGCGGCGATCCGCTGATGTTCTCGTCGGCTGTAAAGTTGATGTTCGGTTTTGAAGAGATGGCTTTGTCAAGATAAAAGCTCGAGCTCTATCGATTTTCTATGCCTTTTTCTACTGTACAGATTTCCCTTCATCCTTATTCTTTTTTGGATTATTGGGAGAATTTTTTACACCAACTTCACCTCAACGAGGTTTAATGGGTACGCTTCTAGTGGGTAACAATGGTGCGTGATGCTATGATTTTTGGAGAAATAAATACACGAGGACTTCAGGCTTGTATCAAGTTTTGGGCAGACCCACCGTTCAGCTGCTTTTCGTCCAAATAAAAAAAATATGCAAGGCTTAGTACATGATTTGATCTGTACTAGATTCAATCTTCAACTATAATCAACTTACAAGGCTTGCTAAGGTCAGGGCTCTCTGTTTAATTCATTCCAGGTCCTTGCATGGAAACACAGTGTACCGTATCCTAGAAATGACATAAGACGCACTACAACGAGGATCTAATCGGTGGAGCAGTATTCTCAGCAGTCTGCCAACATTTACCATATTACAGTGATAATATTTTTTAATGTCAAAACATTTAAACGTGCGCGTTGGAAGGTAATAATAATGGTGGGTTCTTCTCCGCTGTGGCCTCGTCGCACCACGAGCATATCATACTGAAAAAGTGACTAGCTTTTGGAAAAACTATTCTGCACATCTTACTCATTTCCGGATGAGATAATCTTCAAGTTTTTTTTTTTCTAAGTCTGGTATCCGTAAAGTGTCTGTTCGGTGGCAAATATCCGTTTGGATTGCAAGGTACGGTACTTCATCTGCATACTAATTATGATTAAGATGGTATTGGCTACATAGTTACTGTAACTATACTATATTCTACTAAAATTAAGAAATTTGTCTCTCTTGAACGGGTTTTACGACCTATTAGTATTTGCTGTAAAGAAGATCATCAGGGATCAAAAATGTTGTATATCACAAAACGTCATCAGGGCGTTTATTTCCATAAAGAATTCAAAAGTTCTAAGAAGAACGTCAATATTCCAAGAAATCAAGTCAAAAGTCAAAAAGAATCTTTTTGGAAGTTTCCGCGATATTTCGTTGTGTAACACCTGGTTTTGTAATGGGGACAGTTTTCACTTGAAATGATCAATTGTTCTACTCATTGTAAATTTTATCTTTCAATATATTATTAATTATTATGTTATATTATTTATGCATCGTTGTCTATGTCTAATGTATTTTGTAACATTTCGTCAAAGTTACTCGCCAAATTTTAGTTGTGAGCCTATTTGGATCACAGCGGGCAAAATTTGATTTGATTCGACCTCTCAATTTTGAATTCGTTTTATGTTGAATGACGTTTTTCTGCGATTATGCACTCTTCCACTGAAACGCGCCGAATTCGCCCTTGTGTCACTTTCGGATACGCGTGAAATTCACAAGTATATCCTTTCCATAATTATTTATTCCTCTTCTCTGCCTCATTCATTCTGGTAAAACGATAGAAAAATTAAGCAATTTTGAAATTGTTGTAGGGGTGGCAGCACTTTTCGTCATCTACTTTTGTTGTATTTCATATAAAACATTGTCGGGCACTATCGCAAAATACGAGGCATTCTTTTCAGAGCTAAGCCTAGGAAGGGGCGAGAATTTTCGGGGAAAATGAAGCTTGCTCACGAATCCTCTTCTCCTTCCTCATCTAAGGCTTGGTCTCATTTGCGAAAAAAATAGGTGTTAACGCGTTTTAAATACACTGCAACCATCATGCCCCTTATCTTGCGATAGCGTCCAATTTGAGATTGATTGATTGATTTGAGATCTGCGATTTGAGAAGCTAGCTTCTACTATTGCCGGCATGCTGCGGTAAATAAGACGGAGCATTCGTGGACGATTAGCACCTTTTGGGATGCGCCGCCGCATGCTACTTCTGTTGGATAAAAAATTTTACACTCATTTTAAATGCCATGCAGCATCTATAACGCGCGAAGAGGCAGTCTGACTTCTGAGAGTGATTTCATTTCTTTCATATGATTCTGGTGCTCATTAGCCTATTTCGAACTTCCTGAGAGGCTCTGCAGGGTTGGCCTGGATAACTTATGATCTGGGATCTGATTCCAGGACCGTGCCAATGCCGCCTTACCACCTCCGCCCTCTACCTAGCCCTGAAATAATAAGCTTTTTATCATCCACAAGATTATGAAGCATTTTTTATTCGGCTAATTCGTAGATCTCCTAGATTACGGGTATTCTGGTTGTAGGTAATTAGAAAAGGGAAACTGCAGCTCAAGATTGAATTTCTTAGGACTGTTCCTTTTTTCGTTTCCTGCTCCCTTTCAATGTATCGTTTTTCCCATTGCATACTTCCAAGATTCAGCTGTAGATGCTTTTCATAATTCGGCTTAGTAGAAGAAGAAGGTGGTGTATTTTTAGACAAAATTGCAACCACTTGGGGGATATTAGTTTCCTGCTTGGCTGAGATCCTATATATAAATAGTAGGTGTTGACGAAATGTGCACATAAATCTACCGTAATTGACGGAAGTGGACGGGATCGTCGTGCGCTGGTGAAAGTGTGCACTTATAGGCGCATGAAGTCTCGACGAGTACGTTCACGCCATTTGACAAATGAGATGGGAGAACCTACGCAGCAAAACATTTGCTCATGACGATTAAGAATGGGAGTACTTTGTCCAACTGGCTGAGGCAGTTTTTTTGTAATATTTTTTACAGTTTTACTAGTTAAAACTACGTCAGCGCTCGAGTGACAGTACTTTGTTCGCACCCGTAGATCAATATACATATTTTTGGGCCTAATTCAGATTTCATGGCCGTTTAAATAATTACATGTAATGGTAGGCATTGGAAAACCCAGGAGCAGTATGTTTCAGGGTCTACCGTTCGTTGGTAATTTTCCATCGATGGGGTCGTATTTGGGTTTTTTGGCCGGTATTGTGTAGGCGGGGATTGTGCTTTGGTTTTGTTTCTTGGTGATAGTGACGTGGGAGATCGTATTTGAAATTTACAGATGTGGTTCGGGAAATGAATGCTGGGAGTCGTTTTCTGGTTGGTTGGGTAACAAGGTCGTTTTTGACGGGTTTTATTGAAATTTTTGATGAAAACTTCAGAAACAATGGATGAAATGCACAAGATTAGATGGCCGTCTTGGAGAAAGATGTGGGTGGGGTTTTTTCGACTAAGTCAACAGTACTCAAAATCATTGGAATCCTATATACAGTCATGGTTTTGAGGGTGGTGGGATGGGAAGGGGGTCGTGGTCTTGGGTGATATTCGTGTGTTGTGGTTGGGGAGGTGGGCGGGGTGGGGGAAGGGGGAGGGAGGAATTGGGGGGGGTTCGTTTTTCGACTTTTTTTTTGTACTTTGGTGGAAACTTCAGAAATATTGGGCGAAATGCACAAAACTGGACGGCCGTTTTGGAGGAAAAAGTGGGCGGGGTTGGATCGTGTCGACTGGGCCTACTCGTCTAAGAATCAACTATAATACTGTACAGTCTTTGCGGTGAGGGTGGTGATTAGGGATGGAAAGGGGTCGTAGTCGTGGGTAACCCGTCCCACTGTGGCTCGCTGTGATGGTGATTTGGGGATTGATGGTGAAGAGTTCTAAAGTTCATCCCGACTCGCTGTAACTTTGATATGGATTATTCATCGTACATTCATCTTTTCACCAGCACAAGCTGCTTCGATCCTCGGTTCCGCAAATTAACTCTACGCGGGCTTTAACTCTTGGTATCGATTTTACGCCCAGCGCAGCGTGAACTCAATCTGTTTTGGATATGAAAGGCTCCCTAGACTGTAAGGTCGAAGTACCAAAGTGTTTTTGTTTTTATTGAAGGGTTATTGATATACTTTGTTCTTATTGCACTTGAGTTTTTATTTTCGACCTCGAAACAAACTTAAAGTGACTGGCAAATTAGCAAAATGATGATCAATGTGTGCTAAAGATACTGTAAAAATTGATAAACAATTTTTTCTCTCAATCCAGATATCTCGACTTTCTGTCGTTTCCACGAAAATCATTTTTTAAAGACTTTTTTCTTGTTCTCATCAGCCCGCTACCTCTTCACATCACTTTTCCCGACCATTTTTTTCAAAAACTTCTTTTCATCATCGCTTTCTGTCTGTCTTTCGCGCCGGACACCAATCATAATTCGTGACGTGCGCGCACGTGTGTCCCAGCTGTTTTCGTTGCCGTCGATGGCGTTCGTCGCGCGCGAGGTGGTGGCCGTGGCGGCTGTGGCGCAGCGCCTGAACATGCCGTTACCCCGGCTGTGTCGGTGTTGGCGTTGAGTCATGCAACCGCCGCCACCGCCTCCCCGTGAACCGGCGTCGCCCGCTAGCGCCTTGTCAGCTGGCTCTGTTTTCTGCTCGGCTGGTTGCCGTCGCTGCGCCGCTCTCGTGTCGATTTCGCTCTCGCCGCTCGCACTTCTTTCATCGTTGTTATCAACCCCGTGCCAACGTGATCCGTTCCAGAACCCTCTCACCGTCCGTGTGCTCCATCGATTGACCGATAATCGATTCGCACTGATTGCGTGTTCTATCGTACTGCTCGTTCTGTTGCATACACGCTACTGCTGCTCGATCATCTCCAACCCCCACATACACGCCACCAACTACCGGTTGATCTGTTTGCACAGCCAGTTCACCTCCGGAGCGAGCGCCCGGATCGCGCTACGCAACGACGACGACGACGACGACGTCAGGGCGAAGGTCACGTGTATTCTGAAGTCGATTCTGTATCTATCTACCTCTTTTGATGACATTCGCTGCTGAAACGATGGACAGTCGACGTCGATACGCCACGATGAACGGTCAGAAGCAGAATCAGCCGCCACCATCCACTCACTATCGCCAACCGCTCGGGCCGAAGAACAGCTTGGATTACTGGCAAAAGGCGAAGGATCAACAGGGCGTGACGTACTACTGGAATCCTTCCGCGAATCCATACTACGGCATGGACAGTATTTACGCACAGCAGAAACCACGGACACCGCAACGACCAGCACCATTCCCGTTGTCGATCCCACCACAGCCGGTGCAGATCAAGCCGCGCAACACCCAGCAGCCGACGATCTCGTCGACCCTTCCAATCTATCATAATGTGCCGACGACCAGCCCGGCGGCAACGGCGGCTCCGGCGCCCATGACCGTGGCATCACAGGCGTTGCTGAGGCTCAAGGAGGATACACGGGTGATTGGTGGTACCAGCAACGGCATTGCCAACGGACATCTGAATCAACGGACCGAAGTTGGCTATGGACCGAAACGAGCGCAACCACTTATCTGGTCAGTTCAGACGGATCCTCTTCGCGAGATTAGGCCTATTCCGACCAAGAGCTATCCGTCAGTCAGTCCTGCTAGCGGTAGGTGTTCACTTATTGAACTTGCATGAATCAATGAATTCTTTTTTATTTCAAATACTATTTCTTAGTTTCATTTTTGGTTACGAGTGCGAGTTCTTGCGTAGAGGAATCAGTTGAGCATGGGTAGACACTTACACTTAGATTTTATTAATTTTACTGCTTCTATGATTCAGCACCTTTGAATAACTAAACCCAATCGATTTTCTTCAACAGTCTCGACAGATCGACCAACAATTGTGGACCACTTTTTCCACTGGGAAAAAAAGCCCGTGTAGATGGTTTTTCCGGTTCTGACGGTCAGCGTTACTTCCCTCCCCCCTTGTTCTCCGCGTATTTCTTTTGGGACCAGACCATTACAAATGTTACACGCTATGGTCTCTGCCAAAATCACCTAACTGATAAAGTTTATATACTAAAATCCTGGTCATATATATTTTTGCGTGACTGAAATCATAATCTGTTTATCAATTTTTTTTTAAAATTTCTTTCTGACATTCAAAAAAATTTCAAAGCATATTTGGCGCCATCGCAAGATACGAGAGTAAAATAAGACTCTGCCCTAGTAGGGGAGGAGAGACTCACTTCACTTTTTCTGTTTCTCTTTTTCAGTTTCAAGTTCCCTCCCCTTACTAGTTCTAGTCCTAGACCCCCCCCCTAAAAACGTTCAAGAACTGGAGTGATTCCGATTCCGCAAAAGCGGAGTGAAGCGGCGTCGAGTTTTACTGCTTTCTTAAAGGTTGACATTAACTGGAAGTTCAACTTTACGAGCTTCCCAACAACAGAGGAACTTTTATTGTTACTTAAGTACTATTTCTTTTTGCTCAGCTTTGTTCCCATTGCCAGTGTTCAATGGGGCTTATCATTTGTACATGCAGGTTGCCACACTATTAGGTAATCAGGCTACATTTAGCGGTAACCGCTTCAGTCTTCAGCCGTTTTATCAGAGCTTTTATAATTCGAATTGCGCCACTTGATAGAAGGGTCAGAAAGTTTTCGTGGTTGGAGCTTTCACGTTAAGTGTCCCCTTCACTACGATAGACTGTTCTTT